AAAAGAAGGAAACTGTTTCTTCATTTAGTTCTTTTTAATTGAATGGAAACTGCTTCTTTTTAAAAATTGACTTGCGGCTTTTTTGCTTTCGGTTTTTCGCACACAAGTTTTTTCGCGCATTCGGTCCTTCGCGCATGAGAATAGCCCCCATCATAGACACCAATATCACTAATATGGCAAAAGAAAACAAGACTGCTCGGATCAGGGCGAAGCCCTGAATGTTCCGACTGCCTTTTAAGGTTTTATGTTCCGACTGCCTTTTAAGGTTTTATGGAGCAGTAATATCATTAAGAATTTAAAATTTAATTTTAATAAAATAATTTTTTTTTTAAATTTGATTTTTTAAATGAAAATCATCCCCCCACACGCCATTTAAAGTACAAAATGAAAAATTTAGCTCCTTGTAACAATTCAATTATGGCAAATAAGCTTCTTTCAACCATTTTGGAGCAATTTTTAAGACGGATTAACTCTTGGCTTACGCGTTAATAGCGCGAATTATATCGCGCGTTTATTGTCCCAAATTGGCCAAAATGGCAATTTTTAAACCCCCATAACTTTATGAAAAATGATCAAAGGTGAAAAATCTTTACAAATTTGAGATCAGGACAACAATACCTATTGAATGAGATATAAAAAAACGTCAAAAATGACAAGTTAAAAAGTCGAAATTTGTCTGAAGAAAAAAAAACCCCACCCCGAGCACAAATATTCCGTAACTTTCGCAACGAAAGTCGGAAAAAAATGGCTGACATGAAGATCCTACTGCAAGCAAAATCTTCGACAATAAACGAAACAAACGTTTATCTTTTATGTTCATATCGTATAACTTAGCAAATGCTTTCATTTGACTCTAGGCATGATATCATTCAAGTGAACTCATTTAAATGAGTGAGATTAGAAACATCAAGTTGAATTTTTATAAAAAAATGTCGAAATTTTGCCGGTTTTATTTCAATTTTTGAAAACTGCAGCGATAATTAAGTTTCAAGTCATTTTTAAACTCAAAGCTTTAAGTTTTTTGTCATCCCTAAGAAGAAAAGTCAACTGTGAGACAATCTGATTATGCAAGGGGTCTCAAAGTTGGAACGACATGTAATTGAGTCTGAAAAAAAGTTTTACAAAATGTATCTGAAAGTTATTGAACGCGGAAAAAGTCCTTACGCTGGAGATTCAGCGTTGCTTCGAATGTGAGACTCAGTCCTAAATGCCTGCCAACCAACCCTCAATTAAGTTTCCGACCAACCCTCAAACTCAGTTAAATTTTACAAATTTTATGATAGTCTTTCTATGGCGTTGAAGCTAAATTTCAATGTTCTTTCTTTCATTTAGTTCGATTTGAGTTTAGTTCGATAATGACTTTTCAATAATGAGTTTCAAGAATTTGTAAGTTCGGTTCAATATCTGATGTCCAGAGCTTCTTGAGAACATAAAACGCCAAAAGTAGCGCTGACTTGGTAACTTTAATTTCAGGTTTGGGACGATAGCCGGATCTAATTTTCTTTAAAAATCCTGCCCTGTTTTTTGGAACACCCTGTAATCGAGTAGATTTCTGTTCCGAGTTTCGATACGAAAAAAAAAACAGAATATTTGTGCTCGGGGTGGGTTTTTTTTTCCTCAGACAAATTTCGACTTTTTAACTAGCCGTTTTTGACGGAATTTTTTTTTATCATTCGAAAGCTATTGCTGTCCTGAGCTTGAATTTGAAAAGATATTTTCCATTTGATAATTTTTTGTAATGTTATGGGGGTTTAAAGATTGCTATTTTGGCCAATTTGGGACAATTAACGTGCGATATATTTCGAGCTTTCAACGCGTAAGCGAGATTTAATCCGTCTTAGAAATCGTTCCAAATTGGTTCATTGAAGCTTATATGCCATATTTGATTTGTTAATAGGCGCAAAATCTATCACTTTGTACTTAATATGACGTGTGATGGATGTTTTTACATAAAATCTCAAATTTTTCAAAATTTTTTTTTTTTTATTTCATTGAAATTTTTCATCTTATTAATGCTCCAAAGACCTTAAAAGGCAGTTGGAACTTTCAGGGCTTCGCCCTGATACGAGCAGTCTTGTTTTTGCTTTATGTTGTTCTTGAGCACAATTATGAAAATTTTGTTTTGCGAATGCGGGATGTGGAAATTTACTATGCACTGCTTCCAGTTTTTAAGAGTATGTGAAAATGAAATTACCACATTTTTTCAGATTTTTGAGAGTTTTTAAACTGAAATCTGAAATTTACTTCAACAGAAGCTGAGTAATTGCTATCATAGACGATGGAATCCCTCATGCGCGAATGTCCGAATGCGCGAAAGTATAAATCAGCGAAACAGATTTCAGTAATCTATCTAAAACTTGGAAAGAAAGTAAACATTTCCAGGGACTGGGGTATTGAGATTGGCCGAAAAAAAAACGGCAGAAATATGCAACATTTTAATATTGTCATTGACCGCCGTAAAATTGGGACAAATTTTATATTTCAGGGGCTTCGTAATGAGAGAAGCAAACTGTTTCTTCATTTAGTTCTTTTTAATTGAATGGAAACTGCTTCTTTCTAAAAATCGACTTTCGGCTTTTTTGTTTTCGGGTTTTCGCACACAAGTTTTTTCGCGCATTCGGTCCTTCGCGCATGAGAATAGCCCCCATCATAGACACCAATATCACTAATATGGCAAAAGAAAACAAGACTGCTCGTATCAGGGCGAAGCCCTGAATGTTCCGACTGCCTTTTAAGGTTTTAAGGTTGAAAAGATATTTTCCGTGTGATCAATTTTTGTAAAATTATTGGGGCTTAAAAATTGCTATTTTGGCCAATTTGGGACAATTAACGTGCGATATATTTCGAGCTTTCAACGCGTAAGCGAGATTTAATCCTTCTTAGAAATCGTTCCAAATTGGTTCAAGGAAGCTTATATGCCATAATTGATTTGTTTATAGGCGCAAAATCTATCACTTTGTACTTAATATGACGTGTAGGGGTTGTTTTTAACTAAAATCTCAAATTTTCCAAAAATATTTTTTTTTTTTTATTACATTGAAATTTTTCATCTTATTAATGCTCCAAAGACCTTAAGAGGCAGTTGGAACTTTCAGGGCTTCGCCCTGATACGAGCAGTCTTGTTTTTGCTTTATGTTGTTCTTGAGCACAATTATGAAAATTTTGTTTTGCGAATGCGGGATGTGGAAATTTACTATGCACTGCTTCCAGTTTTTAAGAGTATGTGAAAATAAAATTACCACATTTTTTCAGATTTGTGAGAATTTTTAAACTGAAATTTACTTCTACAGTAGCTGAGTAATTGCTATCATAGACAATGGAATCCCTCATGCGCGAATGTCTGAATGCGCGAAAGTATAAATCAGCGAATCAGATTTCAGTAATCTAAAACTTGGAAAGAAAGTAAACATTTCCAGGGACTGGGGTATTGAGATTGGCCGAAAAAAAAACGGCAGAAATATGCAAAATTTTAATATTGTCATTGACCGCCGCAAAATTGGGACAAATTTTACATTTCAGGGGCTTCGTAATGAAAGAAGCAAACTGTTTCTTCATTTAGTTCTTTTTAATTGAATGGAAACTGCTTCTTTTTAAAAATCGACTTTCGGCTTTTTGTTTTCGGTTTTTCGCACACAAGTTTTTTCGCGCATTCGGTCTTTCGCGCATGAGAATAGCCCCCATCATAGACACCAATATCACTAATGAGGCAAAAAAAAATTGCTCGTATCAGGGCGAAGCCCTGAATGTTCCGACTGCCTTTTAAGGTTTTATGGAGCAGTAATATCATTAAAAATTAAATGTAATAAAATAATTTTTTTTTAAATTTGATTTTTTTTAAATGAAAATCATCCCCCCACACGCCATTTTAAGTACAAAATGATAGATTTAGCTCCTTGTTACAATTCAATTATGGCAAATATGCTTCTTTCAACCATTTTGGAACGATTTTAAGACGGTTTAACTCTTGGCTTACGCGTTAATAGCGCGAAATATATCGCGCGTTTATTGTCCCAAATTGGCCAAAATGGTAATCTTTAAACCCCAATAACATCACGAAAAATGATCACAGGTGAAATATCTTTTCAAATTTGAGCTCAGGACAACAATACCTTTTGAATGAGATTTTAATAATTTCCGTCAAAAATGGCTAGTTAAAAAGTCGAAATTTGTCTGAAGAAAAAAAAACCCCACCCCGAACACAAATATTCCGTTACTTTCGCATCAAAAATCGGAACAAAAATGGCTGATATGAAGATCCTACTGCAAGCAAAATCTTCGACAATAAACGAAACAAACATTTATCTTTTATGTTCATATCGTAAAACTTAGCAAATGCTTTCATTTGACTCTAGGCATGATATCATTCAATTGAACTCATTTAAATGAGTGAGATTAGAAAAATCAAGTTGAATCTTTATAAAAAATGTCGAAATTTTGCACGGTTTTATTTCAATTTATGAAAACTGCAGCGATAATTAAGTTTCAAGTTATTTTTAAACTCAAAGCTTTAAGTTTTTTGTCATCCCTAAGAAGAAAAGTCAACTGTGAGACAATCTGATTATGCAAGGGGTCTCAAAGTTGGAACGACATGTAATTGAGTCTGAAAAAAAAGTTTTACAAAATGTATCTGAAAGTTATTGAACGCGGAAAAAGTCCTTACGCTGGAGATTCAGCGTTGCTTCGAATGTGAGACTCAGTCCTAAATGCCTGCCAACCAAACCTCAATTAAGTTTCCGACCAACCCTCAAACTCAGTTAAATTTTACAATTTTTATGATTGTTTTTCTATGGTGTTGAAGCTTAATTTCAATGTTCTTTCTTTCGTTTAGTTGAATATCAAAAAATTGAAAACTTAAATATCAAAAAAACTACGTCGACAAAAAATTATAATAAAAAGTTAGATTTTGAAAACGGCGATTTTACAATGTTTTACTACGGTAGGAGCAGTCTTGCACAGCTTCAGGATACACTTGTCAATCGAATGAAGTTTTCAAAACTAACCTAATGCTTTCGGGTGTGTTAGCACAAAACAGAGGACTTTGACCTTTCTCCAACTCTCATCTTCTGCCGATGGTGATTTCATGTAAGCTCTCTGACCTTGAACTGGTCTAATTTCTGAAAGCTGAGGCGAAAAATAATTTTTACTAATCAAACTGGAAGAGTAATCAGATCTTAATCTGTTTTCGTTCGTCGAAATTAAATAAAAACTAAAAAGAATTCCATTCATTACTATTAAACCAACAAATATAAATTTTCGACTTCTTCCGCCTAAGTCGACCATTTTTATTTGATTTCCGTTCAGTTTACATTGGCTTTAGCTTCATAGACTCTGTCTCCGTATAGCCGCTGGATACTTAAAGAAAAATTACAACCATTTGCAAAAAAGGATTTTTATGTCACATTTGTTGATGCTCTATGCGAGTAACAACTGCTACACGTCAAGTGAAAACAAAATTTAATTTTAGATGACAAGAATAAATATTTGCCGTAAACCTATATTCGAATGAGATAATTGTTTTTTTTTCAAACAATCAAATACTTAAACTGGTTTTCTCATAGAGATGCGAAGCACCTAAGTATATGTACAATAGAAACATTCGATTGAAATTTTGCGGTAAAACTAAAAAAAAACAAGAAGAAATTGTAGTAAAAATTTTTTTTATAGATTGACATCATAAATTTTCTTGCATAATGGAAGCAAGGCTGCTACCCGGCGTCACGTCCATACAAGAAAAATACGAAAATTGCCATCATAGAATCAGGGGCGGATCTAGGATTTTCTCGAGGAGGGGGGAGGATTTTTTTTTTTTAGTTCGCCCAACTTTTTTTAGTTCGCCCAAATTGATTTTCCGAGTTCACCCAGAGCACTAAAGAGACCTTGTTTTGGCTAGATTTTCTGCGGAAAAATTTTGAAAAAACGGGCCAAAAAAGAGCGTTTTTACGCACTTTTTGGAAAATCTTGACCAAAAAATCACTTTCATCGCGCGCTCTCCCCTCAAAGTTACTATATATTGGCGCTGAAGGCGCCTTTAGAAATATTTTAGGGTCCGTCACCAAAAAATTGATATCTCAAAATAATACAAAGGGGGACCCTTTGGGTCGGCAAGGGGTCGAATCCCTGAGAAAGGGGCGTGCAAACCCCTCCCCCCTAAATCCACCCCTGCATACAATAGCACATGCAGAAATTACTGAAAAAAAGGCTTCCCATACAATTACCATAGAAAGAAATTGTATGATAAGCATTCAGTTTTTTTGAAAACTATTGTAGGTGAGCTTAGAGCTGAAAAAAAATTGAGTTTTTGTGTATAAATCTGTGCAAAAATCATGATAGTAATCTGCATGGCAAATCAAAAAAAGCCGTTTATCTGCGTGCATGCCGCTACTTTAATTTAGGATCTTCTACTTTTAAAAGCACTTAGTCATTGTTTTTTTAAGATAGAGCTCAAAGTTTCAATAAATGCTTTCAAGTATGGAAAAAAATTTTCACGTATGGAAAAAATCTTATCATGCAACTTCATAATACGGAAAAAAGTTTATCCTACAATATAGTAATTTTAAAAAATTGCGTCCCCAATTTCCATCCAAATCATAAAAATGGCAAAGGCTTATTCAACTCCAGATGTTGGAAAGTTTGCTTAATTTTAAGATTCATGCCATAGAAAAATGCTTGTTATGCTATTTTCATATACTTTTTAATGAACTGTATAATGTATGACAAATTTTCGTTCAGATTATAAAACTGTATGATACGCATTTTCGTCAACGCTGGTAGTCTTGAAATTTCTGGCACTTTAAAGTATCGGGCTTAGTTTTTGAATATTTTGAAACTAGGATACAAAATGGAATTATTTGCTTTAAAATACAAAATTTTTCAATCAAAAAGCCTGACAAACTAATTTGAAATCGTTTTTGACCGTATAAGAACTTTGCCTACCCGCAAATCCATCAATATTTTTCTGACTGTGCAAAAAAAATGTCAAAATTTTTTAAATTAAAACGTCGAATTTGACTGAAGGTTAAATTTCGAGAAGAATTCGGCAATCTTCGCGATTCGGCAAACGTGTCTCTTCGTTGCTGCTCAAAAGCAGATTGTACCATGTGGTACTATTAAACAAAATGAGCTTTTAAATAAAATCTTTACGAGGCGCCGTTGGTACAAAGACACACTCAATTTGACCGGGAGCGCGCGCGAAAAAAGTGTTAATTTTAAAGATCGTCAATTAATTTTCCCGTCAGTTCTCTCCAGCATCCCGAGGAAAATTTCCGTTCAGCTTTAAAAAACCACCTCGTCAATATTCCTAAGATAGCTCCAGGATTGTGTTGCAATTTGGAGACCAAACGAAGTGCAAGCAGACTGAATAATGACTTTTGATAATTGGCTTCAGAGATTGATAAAAAGATTGTAAAATGGCATGTTTTTAGTAGTTTATTAAGCAGACGCAGACCAAGCATCACCAACCCCTTTCCTTAACTCAGCTTGTATGATTTTTGAAAAATTTTGATTTTAAATACTACTATCTAGGTCAACTTTCATTGACAACTAGCTGCATCAAATATCCGCAACAGCAAAGTAGTCGCAATCAGACTATCGATCCCCTGAGCGCTCTGCTAATTGCGCATTTTTCTTCCAGCCATTTGTTAAATCCAACACCGTTGCCACTGATCCATCAATAGTCGTATTACCTCCTTGTAAGAAATATGTCTGCCACCATCCATGATTCATTCTCTAATAGATTACCGAAGTTTTTCATGGGCCATGTCCATAAAAAATACCGCTACAAAGTTATCCAAGGACATTGATTTCGAACGGGTCTACCAGCAAAAACCTTAAACACTATTCAACTTTCCCATAGATAAACTTGTATCTTAATGAAAACGTTTGGGCTGTAGTTGTCAATAACTTCCAGAGTTTGAACGCTAAACACTATTTTTTTGAATACATGACTCAGTCGAAAAATTGGTTGAAATAGAAGCAAGTCTTTGACTTTTTCTATGTTGTTTTGATTTTCAAATTTTCAAAAGGTTTGAAATGTTTTCTACCTTTTTAAGGTTGAAAAATTGGTTAAACGAGCTCTTCAAAAATTTTTACAATAATCTGGTTTTCGACAAATTTTTCTGCGCCGCCAAAAAAAAATCAGCGAAAAGAGTCACGAAGAGGGGCTTTTGCCCTTACTCCGAGATTTTTTTTTTACTTAAACCTTAAGTAAATGAGTTTCGGAGTAAGGGGCAAGAGCCCCTCTTCGTGACTATCTGCGGATTTTTTTTTGGCGACAGAAAAGTTTGTCAAAAACCAAACTATTGTAAAGGTTTTTTAAGAGCTCTGTTAATCAACTTTGTCAAACCTTTTGAAAATCAACACCAAATAGAAAAAAATAAAGACTTGCCTCTATTTCAACCATTTTATTACAGCGTGAGCAAAGATTCAAACGTTCGTTAACTTATTCTATTCATTTGGCGCTACCCGAAATGAAATTTAATGAATAATGATTGATTATATTCAATTATAGTCTAAGATTTTTAGAGAAATCAAATCGATTATATTCAATTTAAAATCCATTATAATAACAACAACTTTAATGGATTATTATGGATTTAATGGATTATAACCTCCATAAAAGTTTATAATTTTTTTTCTGTGCCGTTTTTTTCTGCATTTCTCACAGCCTACTCGATTCTTACACCTATTTGCTCTGATTAAAATTACGCAAAACTATATTCCTCTTACTTTAAACCCTGGTCGTGAGTTAGGACCGAGGTGGTTAACTCATAGAGTAATTTCGGATAGGGTACACCGTCTGCTCGTCACGCTATCTTATTTTCGGCCGGATAGATTCGTGCAACTTCTTAGTCTAATACCGATCCTAATCTTACTCTTATACTATCTAGTCTCAGGTTGTTTAACTAGTCTCTGCTAGGCTCAATAGATCTAGGGTATACTGGTTTATTGCGGCTGCTGAAGTTCTCTTGGAGAGGCAACTAATTTCTAAGTTAAATTCAAATCTCTCTGGTGCTGAAATTACAAGTAATTTCAGCACTTACAAATAAGTGGGTTGTTAGTTAGATGGATCATGATTGGTTAATATTAAATACTTTACAGTGGTAAAATATCTAATTTATCCAATCATAAAATGTAGTTTAGATCAGGTTCCAGTCGTCTCAAATTTAACAACCAAATTGAACACGCCCTCTACGCACACACACAGCTATCCGCACAACTACACCACCTCCCTTCACCAACCCCACGCACCTACCCCACACCTACCCCTACACCAAACTACGCTCCCCCTCTGCAACTACTTGACACCCCGTAAGTTTGAGGAGCGTAAAAGTCTGTGGGTGTTAAAAATGCGTGTGTAGGAGATGGGGAATAGAGAAGCACGAGTTTACAGTATTTTTCTCGTATTTTTACGGATAATGTAAGAAAAGGGTAAGTGGCGAAAGAGGAGAGGTGGTGGCAAAATATGGAATAAGGGTAAGTGGGAGGAGTTAGTTAACGTATTTAGGAGAGGGGGAGACAAGTAGAAAAAAGACAATCAAAAAACAAAAAAAAATATTGTAGCCAAACGTAAGACATATTTTAGCAATTACAAAATTTAAGTAATGATTATTTACTTTCAAGGTGTTCGAAAATATAGGCTCTTACTCATGAATTTTATTATAATACCTTATTATATTTTTCAATCTTTTAATACGGATGAAATTGATTTTTACCTTATTGTTCCGACTTTCGATACGAAAGTAACGGAATATTTATGCTCGGGTGGGGTTTTTTTTTTCTTCAGACAAATTTCGACTTTCTAACTAGCCATTTTTGACGGAATTTTTTATATCATTCGAAAGGTATTGTTGTCCTGAGCTTAAATTTGAAAAGATATTTCACCTGTGATCATTTTTCGTAAAGTTATGAGGGTTTAAAGATTGCCATTTTGACCAATTTGGGACAATTAACGCGCGATATAATTCGCGCTATTAACGCGTCAGCGGAGATTTAATCCGTCTTATAAATCGTTCCAAATTGGTTGAACGAAGCTTATTTGCCATAATTGATTTGTTACAAGGAACGAAATCTATCTTTTTGTACTTTTCATGGCGTGTGGGGGGATGATTTTCACAAAAAATTTCAAATTTTAGAAAAAAAATTTTCATTTTATTTTATTTCATTTAATTTTTTTTATCTTATTACTGCTGCTCCATAAACCTTAAAAGGCTTCGCCCTGATACGAGCAGTCTTGTTTGTTTTATAATCGATTCTTAATCCATTTTAATTGATGATTTTAGCATTTTGTGGAGACAGCCTAGGAAGTTCTAATTGATTGATTACTATCCATGGAAATTCAT